AAATAGCCCGTCCTTACCTCTGGATCCCCTACATCTGCTATTTTACTCAGCTCTCCAGTTCTTCCCAGAGTGCTGTGGGCTGTAGGGGTTAAGGGTGGGTGCAGCTCTCTACAGTCTTAAGCAGCACTGGGATTTCACTGCTTCTTTTTGTGTGATGAGGAGGAGGATCAGGGAACAGCTTAAAGACAAAGGCTGCAAAGACTACATTAAGGCTGCATTTGTATACAATAGTGTCTGGGGGGGGGGGGATGGTGGTGGTAGTGGTGGTGGTTGTTTTTGTTTTTAAGACAAGAGTTTTTCAGTGGCCTGAAGCTTGCCAAGTTCGCTAGACTGACTGACTGAGGACCACCAGGGACCCACCTTTCTCTGCTTCTCCAGCTCTGAAACTGCAAATAAGCACCACCACACGCTTGGATTTTCCCCTTCAGTGTTCTGAGTTCTGGGGCTTGAACTCAGGTCCTTGTGCCTGTAAAGTAAGCACTTTGCCAATTGGACAATCTTGCTAGCCCTGTTTTTATTTTTTGGAAGGATTTTAGATGTCAGGAAGGATCTTGTGTCCCTACTCTGCAGCCGGTCCCAGTTACCAGTCTTAGCTGCACGCTGGCAGCCTTGCCTTCCCAAGGACCGGCCTGTCTGAAGTTTCTCTGGTATTTTCTGGGTGTGGATCAGAATGTGTCCTCATGACTGGTGTAGCTTCGTACAGTGCTTACTAAAGGTCGGCAGGAACTCTCACTCAGTTTTCCTGGATACTGCAGCCCACTGAGGTGCCAAAGTCACTATTGCTGTCCCCTTGGCCTCTGTGTGTGTGTGTGTGTCTGTGTCTGTGTCTGTGTGTGTGGTGCGTACTGTATAAGCACTTGTCTACATGCATGCCTCTGGCTTGTCTTCTCTGACCTCTCTCTGCACCTTGTGCACTGAGGCAGGATCTCCTCGATCTAGCCGATCTATCCAGCATGCTTCTATCCATCCATCTACCCGTCCCCACTTCCCACCTGGCACTTGTGTGGGTACAGGGTTCATCCATGCCTGCACTGAGCCATCTCAGTAGCCACATCTCTTGATTTTGCTGATGAGGGAGCGCTGCTTTATGGGGCTGCACGTGGCAAAGACAGTGTTCACAGCCAAGTGTTTAGCCAGCATGCACTTCGCCTGTTGGTCTTCAAGGTGCCTATGGACTTCAGATGGCACCTAGAAGCCAGTTTCTACTTAGAGTTTGACTGTTTGACTTCTTTGTTGTTAGAGTGTAAATGAAGCTCTGCTCCTTGTTGGGTTGGCTACCTTTGACAAGTAGGTAGAGATCAGTGAGCATATAGTGACAGTTGGCAGCTGACTCCCACAAGGACAAGAAGCAATGCTGGCAGTTAATCTGTGTGCGCTGGGCAGGACAGACATAACCAAAAAGACCGTCTAAGCACCTCACAGAGGCTGGTCTCTTAATTCCACCCTTGACCATAGCTGAAAAGGACTAGACCTTTCTTAAGGTTCTTCTTTCCAAATGGGTCAGATATAACCATCTCTTCTATTCCTGTGGGTCAGATATAATAACCATCACTCAGGAAATATTCAGATGGCTTCTGTGAGTGTGCAGGAGAGGCAGGGTAGAGTCAAGAAAGGTCGTGTTCACCTCAGTTGTTGTATTTGGTGCCAGGTGCAACAGAAACCAAGAGCATATGAGCCCAGACGACCTTGGTAACTTGATCCACCACATTCCATGCATGTCAGGCAAGGGGTAAACTGGAGTCTGCTAGCGGCAGCATGACTAACACTTTGCTTTTATGCAGTGGTTTTAGTTCTATGAACTTCATCATAGACTGTGCAGTGAGAAAAGAAAGCTTCTAAGAAGGAAACTGATGGGCCTCTGGCTCTCTCCTGAGGATGGGCCTCTGGCTCTCTCCTGAGGATTTTGCAGGGCCAGGTAAGGGCCTGCCTCTCGAGGAAGCTCTGGAGTCCATGTAGCCTATGCCTGGGATCTGACTGGCCACTGGCCGTCTTTGAGTTCTTCTCTACCCACCCTTGTTCTTCAGCTTGTAAAGGCATCCTCATAACCCTTTCCTCATCAGGTTCTTGTAAGGGAGGGGGGGTGCTGAAGAGGATGCAGGAGTGCACAGCACAGACTCCCTGGTCTTTACCCAGGCTATGTTGCTGTTAGCACTGCTCCAGCTTTCTATCCACCATGTGTGAATCTGGGTATGGATAATGGACTGTAAAGGAAATTTGACCTCAGTACTTGGTGAATATGTTTCTTACACAAGAAGCAGCCAGATGCAGGCAGTCTGGGCTAATGTGGGGCTCAGTTTATGCCCAAGAGGTTTACCTTGGTTTATTCTTTCTACCCTCTGAGTACACTGACTTACTGCCTTGTGGTTGCAAAGTGGCTGTTACACCTTCCTCTGTCATCTATGGTTGAGGGTAAGTGGGCAGAAGTATAGTAGTAAGCAGATTTCTTCTGTAAGAGAAGCAAATGCTTCTCCAAGTCCTCCCCTACCCTCCCCCTTACCCCCTTCCGCCATTGCTCTCCCCTTGTGTTTGTTTCTAGTCCTGTGTTAGTGGAATAAAAGTTGTAAACACCTTTCTGCACATGTGTCCCTGATCTGAGGGAAAGTGAGTACTGCTTTATTTGCATATATTTTCTTAACTTTTAAAAAGCTTCCTTTTTAGGATTTCATTTATCTGATTGGGTTCTGTTGAGACAGAATCTCACTTTGTAGCTCTGCCTAGCTTCACATTGTCTCTTCCTGCTCCAGCCTCTAAGATACTGGGACTTTAGACATTCACCAGAACACTCAGCTTTTCCCTAACATTTTAAATTAAAATAAAACACATGCAGTAAAATGCACACATCTTTGCTAGATTACTCTAGGGAGTTGTACTATTCACTTAGAAACAGTCTGTGATCATCTCAGAAATCTTGCATTTAGCCTGTTTTCACCCTCTGTAAGGCATCTGACTTCCCATCTGTTGCTAGAGGCCAGTGTTTCGAGGCCCAGGGAGTCTAGAGCAGAAGGCGGGAAGGTGCATCTGTGTGTGCTCCAGGTTGGTGTGAGAGCTTCCTCTGTGTGACTGTGAGTGGCAGGCCTAGATTTGGTTCCTGCTTTTTTCTGTGTTGTGTCTCTGCATAGAGCTGGCGCCATGACATGTGACAGGTATCCTACAGACAGAAACTCATGGTCTCTGCTGATGGAGTATCTTTCCTCATGAAAGCCTCCTCCTGAGTCTTGCAGAGCTTGCCTGTGCCCTGCTTGCTTTCACTCTATGTCCACTTTAACAGCAATCTCTGAGAACTTGTATCCCTGCTAGGAACCTATAAAGAATCTTTTCTAGGCAAAGGGAAAAACAGCCATTAAAGGTGTCACTGGGAACTGGAGCTGGAAGCTAGCCAATAAATGAACAGAGATTTGCATCACTGTCTCCTCCCCTTTAGTAGTCTTAGTTCTGAGCACAGAAGCGTAAGAACCTTGTAGTGAGTTCTTCACCACTAGAGCAGGGAAGCTTGGCCTTGAGAAGCTGTTCTTAGGGTGATGGGACTTCCCTGGCAAAGCTATTGTGACTTCCTCATTCAAATCGTTGTCTGGGCTTCAGAAGGGCCTGAAGGCAGAGGCCTGAGCATGTGTGTGTGTGTGTGTGTGTGTGTGTGTGTGTGTGGTCGGTGGACTCCTGAAGACAAAAGGGGTGCATGATTCAAGAATGTGTTCATGGAAGTTCAGGATGCAGGAGAGAGATTGAAACTCTGGAGTCAGCTCCCACAACTGCTCATTCTTACTGCCTTAGCTTCAGGAACCTGCTAGTTTTGAGCTTCATGTCAGCTAGAACTATGTTCCAGGATATTCCACTAAAAGTTACTAAGGAATTCTTTTTGCAAAGCAATTTAGAATATCTTACTATATTGAAAAAGTAATTATTATATTCATGGTCCTTGTTGAGGGGTTTGCATAGGACCTAGACCTGACAGTAGAATCACTTCAACCTTTCTAATTAATAAACTGAAAGTTCAAGAGCTTCTGCAACCTGTGTAGTAATAGATAAGAAAGAGAAAGGTTAAGTGGGGTGTGGCAGTGCATCCCCTGAGCAGGCTTTGGGAGGGAGGCACAGGCAGCCTTGTGTTCTGGGCCAGCCAGGGCCAACACAGTGAGACCTAGCTCAACAGGTCCAGAAGACAAAGAAGAATGGCTGATAATAAACCATCCCACTTAGATCCCAAAGCCCCACCTTTCTGTGCTGGCCCTCTTACCATTCCTCCTCTTGTCTGGCATTAACACACATTCTTCCAAAGGACCTATGGCATTTTAGGAAAACTAAGGACGTGGTGGGAAGTACCTTGCTGGATAATGAGGCAGTGGTTTAATCTACATGTCAGTACAAGCCCACAGCAAAGTGTCACACCCTGGATGCACGCTCATTTATGAAATGAGTGTGTGATCACTAATGTCCTACCTGTCCCCAAAACAAGAGCTTCTAGGACCTTTCCTGTGCTTGGTTTTATGCTTCCCAGGTGGGTTCAGCATGCAAATATATCCTAAAGGAAACTTAATTATTAAGTGTAGATCATGTGATGGGACTCTTTACAATTAACACACATACACACACACACACACTTACACACACATGCATGCCAATGCAGACGCATGTACACACACTCATAATTTTCCCAAGTGAGCTACATCTGCCATTGCATCTTCCAGCCCGATTTCCTCACCAAGAAGGTGTTTACAGTGATAAATAATTCATGTTGGAGCTTAAGATTCCTGGAGGGCCTGGCAGGCTTTCATCTTGGATAAGGTACCTTAAAATATTGCCAATAGCCAACCTCGGGTTCCAGACTGAGTATAAATCCTTCTTGCTGAGTGTATGAGTTTGTAATGTAAACTGTTTTCAATTATACCTGGAACTGTTGAGCTGAAGTAAGGCACAGCTGCACAAGTCTGAAACTAAGAGATGAAAGGTAATGGACCAGTGAGGTATGAACGCATTGCACTTAGACAAGTGATACTGTGTTGTTTCAGACCCAACAAAGAGGAGACGGGCCACGTGAGTGCTTCAGGTGCATCTGTTGTCAAGCATGGACTTAATCCAGAGAAGGGCTTTATGCAGGTTCATTACTTAAAGGTAAGTGTGCCTGATGGCTACAGCCATTAGTGACAGGACAGCACTCCTGTGGCCATACAGGAACATCATGAGTAGCACAGCTGAGGCAAAGGAAAGGGTCTCCACCTCTGTAACAGTATCTCAGTGGACCTAGACTGAGTATTTGCAGGTTAACAACACTGAAAGCCTCTAAACAAGGCCATTTTCAGAAGGACCCAGCCTAAGGAAGCCAGTTTCCTGCTGTAAAACCCGGTATGAACTGGACCTGGAGTGAAGGCTCTGGGCCTCTCCTCCTTGCAGGGTCTAAGCAGAGGTAGTTATGACGTTAACAGAGTTCTTGTTGTGGGCTCTGAAGTCCACCCTTCATCGCCAAGCCCAGCCTCCCTGGTCAGAGAAGGCAGCACATTCTGGATGCACTAGTGCCTCACAGAAGACTCTGTAAGCAATTGTGATGACCCCTGATGCCATCTTGTTGTCTATCTTTCTTCTCCCAGGGCTACTTCCTTCTTCGGTTCCTAGCCAGAACACTTGGAGAGGAAACTTATTTTCCATTTTTAAGAAAATTTGTGCACCTGTTTCATGGGCAGTTGATTCTTTCCCAGGTAACTCATGGGATCCTGGTGAACTCACAGAGTTACTAGAGGGGCTGCAGCTTGCGGGGATTAGATTATGTCAGTGCCCAAAGGTAGAGAATTTACTGTTATATTTACTGCGAGAAAGAGGGGGCTAGTGACGTGGACTCAAAGGATGTGTATTTGGGGAATGTGAGCTCCTGGTAATATAAGAACCCACTGTAACTTCAAACTGTTCACCACCAAACACAGTTGCATTCTGAGGGACCTTATAAAACCACACAGTCCTGCTGGAGTCATCTGGGCAAGCTTGTTTCCTTCTGAGGCTGCAACCTCAGAGTCACCTTGGCCAGCAGCTCAGAGGCTCACTGTGAAAGCAGGAAAACTAGACGTCACCTCCCAGCACCCATGCAGCAATCCTGGGCCCCACACACACCTGTAGCACAGCACTGAGGGGGCACAGAGGCAGGGGAATCACTGGGGACAAGTCCAGCAGAGGAAGATAAGACCCAGGCACCTCCAGGGAACAAGGATGGTAGTATTAAAAGAGGACACCAAACACTATGGGCTCCACACATGAAGGCATGTTCACTTACACTTATGTGCATTCAACACACACACACCAAAACAAATAATGCCCCAAGTAGTAACAAAGCCCTTGACTAAAGTGATTTTGCCCTTTCATTCTGTTGAATATCATTCTTTCATTGTGCGCGCATGCATACGTGCGTGCGTGCCTGCCTGCCTGCCTGCGTGGGTGTGGGTGTCCATGCGTGCGTGCATGCGTGCGTGTGTGCGTGGGTCAGGGAACAACATGTTCTCCCCCTTTCCCATGTGAATCTCAAGATTGAACTTGAGTCATCAGGCTTAGCATCAAGTGCTGTTATCTACTATTGAGCCAGTTCAGGGGCCTACATGCCTTTTGAAAATTTATTTTTTGCTCAAATTTTATGGAGAAATATATATAAAATAAAACTTATCACAGCGAAGTCCGGCTTGGTGGAGTGTCTTGGTTAAGGTTTTACTGCTGTGAACAGACAAGGACCAAAGCAACTCTTATAAAGACAACATTTAATTGGGGCTGACTTACAGGCTCAGAGATTGAGTCCATTATCATCATGTCAGAAAGCATGGCAGCATCCAGGCAGGGATGTTCTACATCTTCATCTGAAGGCTGCTAGCAGAATACTAGCTTCCAGGCAGCTATGATGAGGGTCTTAAAGCCCACATCCACAGTGACACACTTCTTCTAAAAAGGCCAAACCTATTCCAACAAGGTTATACCTCCTAATAGTGCAACTCCCTGGGTCAAACCACCACATGGGTTAAGCCCCACTCTGGGCAACAGGCATAAATCTGTGGAACATTCCATCTTTCTATACTGGCTTGTCTGGATGCTTGAGAGCTGAACCCAGGTCCCTGTGCTTACCTGCCATGTGCTTTGCCAACCAAGACAGTTTTTCAGCAGTGGTAGGGCTGATTCTTTGAACAAATTTTCTGAAACCCCCACACTGTTCTTCAGGGTCACATGACTTCATTCTCACAGATTTCCCTGTGTCCTTACTTGTCAATGTTTGTTGCTTTCTGCTTTTTCTTGTTATTATTTTTATTTTGTTTTGATGTTTACTTTTTTGAGACGGTTTTATTATACAGCTCAGGCTAGCCTTGACTGTCTCTAATACTCCTGCCTCCTAAAAGCTGAGATTGCAAGTGTGCACCACCATACCTGGCTTGTATGTGCTTCCAGGATATCATTTACCCAAGTTTAGTGAAAAGGGAAACTAAAGTGAGTTTATGGTAGCATGAAACAAAACTTTTGCTAGACAATTCTGTTAAGAAGCATCGCTACAAATATGGTATCCTGATTCCAAGTGTGATTTTTCCATCATGCTTGCACCTGGGGAGGGGGAGGAGCATGGCTGTGATTCCCTGAGTTTCAGTCTAGCCAGGATGCGAAGCAAGTTCCAGGCTAACCAAGGAGGGAATGAGACCTGTCTCAAAAGCTAAAAACAGAAGTGATTTTGCTTGTTTGTTTGTTTTTAAAGACAGAATAGGTGGCTCAATCCTTCTGTTATGTCTCCAATTCTTTCATTTTCAGTTGTTACTGTTACATTGTTAAGGTTTGCTTTGCCAGCATAAAGGATTTTAGTATTCACCACCACTTAACCATGCTTCTAGATTCGAGAACATTTTATTTTGATTCAGCTCTTTGTTGGCTCAATTTCATTATCAAATTGATGTTCAAGTTGAAGCTTCCCAGGCTGCGTGGTTTCTGGGTTCTTACTGTTTAAGAATGCATACCTCTTGTCTGTGTCACAAAATAGCTAGGTTTAAATTTTCCTCGGCCACACATTCACTCCTTGGAACTTGCTAGACATTGCTCAGCTGCCTTCTAGCACTGATCGCTGCTCTGAGACTTTGGAAGCTGCCTGCTTTTCCTGTTTATAGCACTTAGATCACAGAAGAAATCTTTATCTTTTCTTTTATTTATTTTTATGTTATGTGTACTGGTGTTTCACATGCATATATGTCTGTGTGAGGATGTCAGGTCACCTGGAACTATAGTCACAGACACTTGTTAACAGCTGTGTGGGTGCTGGGAATTGAGCCTGCATTCTGTGAAAAAGCAGTCAGTAGTACTCTTCACCTCTGACTCATCTCTTCAGTCCCAGAGATCTTTATTTTGAACTCAGAGATTTAACTACAAATGAGTGGGTGTGCATGATTCTTTCAAAGAATTGTTTAACACTGAGAGAGAGAAAGAGAGATTGTGTGTTTGTGTGTGTCTGTGTTTGGGTGTGCTCTGGTACAAATGTGGAGTTCAGAGGACTGTTGTGGAGTCTCTTCTTTCCTTCCACCATGTGGATTCTATGTATTAAACTCTCGTCCTAAGGTTTGGCAGCAAGCTCCTTCGTCTGCTGAGCGATCTCAGTGGCCCTCATGTGCATGATTCTGCACTATTCCTTCTCCTTTTTAGTCTTAGATTCTACTCTTCAGTGCAGTTGTCTTAAGTATACTTTGTTTTGTGTTTTGAAAGAAGGATCTTGCTATGTAGCTCAGGCTGGCTTTGAATTTGTGATCCTCCTGCCTCAGCTTCCTCAGTACTGATAATACAGACCTGCATTGCCATGCTTGGCTTTAACTGCATATTTGGTCTTATTTCTCTCCTTGTAAGATTCTGAGTTTCCATGTTGCAGCCACTCCTCTTTGTCTGCCGTGCACACATTAGACAGTTGCTTTCATCTTTGTCATATTCATAGCCTGTCTTTCTCTCTAACATTTCTTTATTATTAAATAGCCTTTATCCCCCTATTTTCTCTTTCTTTTGAGATAGTCTCAGATGGCCCAGGCTGGCCTCAAACTCCTAGGGTGGCTATGGCAACCTTGAACTTCTGATTGGCCTCCACCTCATAAGGGCTGGAATAGCCAGTGTGCATTACTGCACCTGGTTACAGGCATGTGATAAGCAAGCGCTTGGCTAAGCCTGTGCCTCCCCAGCACTTGTTACCACATCTTTACTATTCATGTTCCTGGAGTGTGTTGCTATGGTTCTTTGTTTGCTGCCCTGAAATCAGAGTCCCGTCTCTTTTCTCTTTCTCTTTTTGTCATAGCTGAATTTTTGCTGCCTTTTTTTATTATGGTATTTTGTAGAGGGTTGCCCTCTGCTCCTTGGGTTATGTTTTCCTCAGGACTGTTTTCTGTGTCTGTTAGCCGCTCTCTGCTCCTCTCCTCACATGGGTTGTGCTCCTCTTCGCTGCCCGTCAGTCTCAGCATGGAGAGCCCTGCCCTGACCTTTTATGTATTCCCCCATGTGCTGGAAGGTCATCTCTGGTTCCCACTGACTTCAGGCTTGTTCCCCACACCCTCTCTGGTCTGACAGGTGGGAGTTACGGGTAGGTGGGGTGCAGAGCTGCAGCGTTTGCACATGGCACTCGTTGGAAGAAGTTGACTCCTTACTCCTGGAATGTGGGGACTGCCCCTCATGACCAGTGTCCATACAGTCTCTTGGTTGCTCCTCAGATGAGGAGGGCACCTGGGACCTCTGCAGGTGCTCACAGCCAGTTGTCCTCATGGCTTAATTCTCACATTTGTGTATCTCTCCAGCAAACGCTTTAGGCCCTCCATGCCTAGAAAAAAGGAATGATAAATCCCTATCTCTTTGCAAATATTTAGGTATTTGAGAATTTATGGGATTTTTGGAAATTCACTAGTTTCTCAGCTTCTAAGCCTGAGAGCTGAGGAGGTGCAGCATGCCAACTAGAAACTGACAAAATCACTTGATCTTTCCCTGGCTCCCCTCTTTGAAGTTTATGCCAGTAGGCTGTCCCTCTGTCCTTATTCAGAAGCTATTGGGCATGCTTTTGCTTTTTTTATATTATTAGATAATTTTTATGTGTTGTGTAGGTTGTTTTTGTTTACTCTGCTACTTAGTTATTCTTTGCTCAGCTTCTTTGTCCCTCCCCCCTCTGAACTCTAGGATTTCAATATTGTTAGTCTACCAGCCGCTCTTGTCCTGTTTCAGGATCACAGTGACCTTCCCCTGCAGGCTCACATCTTAGTCCCATTGGGACTCATCCAATTATAATGTCTAACTTCCTCCTCAAAACTCAGAAGGGAGCAGAGGAGCCAGTGAGGGAAGGCAGCTTCCTGAGAGTATTTGTTTCTGTTTCAGCAGGCAGTGAGTTGGGAGGGATGACTCTCAAAAGAGCACCCAGGGCAATGGCAGCCTGCAAGAGAGCAGGAAAGCAGGAGCTGTGTGAGCAGTTTTGGGTTCTCTAAAAGGAGTAAGAGGAACCAACTGGGTCAGTTCTGGACATAGATGTTTTAAAGACTTCAGATGAGAAACAAGTGTCTCAAATGGGGTAGATCACAGGAGCACATTGCAATTCTCAGGAGACATCTTGGAGATGCCCCACATGTTTTGTCTGTGTGATCTTAGGCACTAATTTTAGCCTCCAGCTAGCTGATGAGCTGCCTCCAGTCTACCCTTGAAGGCAGGAATTGACAGGCTCTCTAGAATGGCAGCCTAC